ACTCCACACTGAGTGAAAACATAATGCTAACAATCTTCTGCATAATTTTAAGTATAACCGATACTTCCTTAAAAGATATGAAGTTGTGGGCACCTGGATCTCATAGTACCAAATTTTGCGCATAGTCGGGCGTTACAAGTAAAAACCCACTTGCAATAGTTATACTTTAAAACAGCAAATGATGGTGCCTAGTAGACTTGTATTGTTATTTTTGACATATACGCCTTGCCGCAGAAATATTGTTATCCCTATTCCGAAAGGGGGGAGGCAGTAAGGTGCGTACGTGAACCATGGTACCAAATTTTGCTCCATGCGTGGCGTCACAAGTGAAAACTTACTTGCCATAGATAACACTTCAAAACAGCAAAGAATGGTGTCAAGTGGACTTTAAATGGTTTTTATGATATATACGCAGGAATTTTATGATCCCTACCCTAAAAGACGAAGGCAGTAAGGTAAGGTAAGTGGAAGATTAGGAAAATTATTATAGTAAATTTGATTATACATTTTGATATAAATTTTTTTTTACATAAAAACAAAAGAATCAAGAAAAAAGACACTTAAATATTAAGGGTTCCTTGACGAAACATATTTTTCAGTAAGACTTTTGACTGAAAACCCTGTATAATAATATAACCCTATATTACAATACAACCCTGTTTTACAATTATCTTTCCTATTAATTGAAGGAATTTCTAAAAGAAAAAACATGTATTTTTCTATGTTTAATACTATTAACATGGTATACTTGCGGTGTTTATTGTTAGTGATTTAAAGTTTTGCACGTAGTCAAAATCATGTCAATTTAATTGCGAATAAATGTTTGCCTAATACTTGTATACTTAAATAACAAAAACCACAAACTACCAGAGTTTGAAAAGTTTATATATTTCGTTCACAACTGCTAAAGCAGTTTTACCTGCAAAATTTATTTTTTAATTAACTTGTCTTCTAATTGAGTCAATCCCCGCAAAAACCGACGATGAGGGAGTATATGTCAACAGAAGCAATAAACTTCCTGGAATAACTTCTGATCAAACTTCGTGCAAACAAAATTACTCGATTTACATAAAATAACCTTAAGTGTTAAATGGTGGTGAAACCGACAATAAATAAAATACATATCTTAAATATTTATGTAAATTATTTAAGATGTATTCATTTAATTAAAAATATTGACATATGGAAGGATGAATGTTAATATTAATGGATAAATGGAGTTTTCAGAATTACAATGAAACAAATATAGATTAATTGGTGACTTTGAAGTAAAATTATTCACTTATTAGTAACAATATTAATTATTTCCTTAATTATTATTTTACTTAATAAAATATTTTACTTAAAGGTTTTAATGAACTTAAAGGTTTTAATGAACTTAAATTATTAGTTAGATTTAAAAATTTATACAAAATCAAAAAAATATCCAAACCTTTTCCAAGTTTTTTTTTTCTTGATTGCTCCTGCAATACTATTTCTTGGTTATTCTTTCCCTTAGTAAATCTTCTGGGTACATTTAAGTAGCAAATCTTACTGAGAACCATTTCATTTTATTACTTGCAGACAAAGCTTATTTAAGACGGTAACATACTGTACCTGCTGGCATTGAGACCGTTTGCTTGGCTGCAGGTCTTTTAAATTATGTTACCTTTGGGACTCACTAAACAATTCCGAGCTACAAAAATTTTCTTTGCCAATGCAATTTTGCTTCTCTCGTTATCATTAAATTAAATGTGGAGAAATTATGAGCAATGAAATGTTCTACTTGGACGTTATTCTTAAGAATTGCTGAAGTCTTTATAACTAAAACAAAATTTATAATAATTGAACATAATTGAGTGATAGTTTAAGATTTTTGAAAATAGTAACTGAAGTCATATTAATACCAAATAACTAATCAACAATG